TATTATAACTATACGAGCTATACAACTTGTGTAAGACAACTTACTGAACTTAGACTTCTGTGGTCAATAACAGCAGCATGTGGAAAACATGTTGGCTTTTCATAATCTGGATTTTTGTTCATCATTTCCAAGAGCACCCGATACATCCTGTGATCTAAGACCGAGAGCAAACAATCATCTTCCGTTTTCTAGCAGAACCAATATGTTACTTGTCGATTATGGCAAAACCAGACTAAATAATAACCCCCCCTTCCAACAAGACAGTAACTGGGTGAGCAAAGTGAAACAAAAGTGGCAGGTCAGTCTGATTATCAGGTACGTAATCGTGTGAGTTTTAGATGAAAACGCTGAAAACGTCCGGGAAACGTTAAAGCAGGAAATGTTTTCCGAGTGTGAATTCTGAGTGTGTGAGGTCATATCGCCCGCTGTGGTCAGATGTTCACCGCTGGATTTTTCCTCTTAACTCTGCTGCAGAATCTGGTTTCTGCCTTGGTATATTTGGGATTTCACAGCGCTGAGAGTGCTGCTAACAGCTTCCTTCTGTGTGTGTGTACAAACATGAAGTGTATCTCCGATGGACACTGGACAGGCTAATCCCCACGTTGCGTCTTAGGGGGGCCCACAGGACAGTCTGGAGGCTCAGGGTTTAACCAGCAGGCCACCTGCTTTCTCAGCAATAGGGAACAGCACAGAGGGAGGTCCAGTTGAGGGGGTGTAAAGAGGATTTTTGGGGGTCAGTTTTGGGGCAAAATGGTCTTTGCGTGTCTGGAAACAATAGGCCAGAAAAAACTGGTTGTATGCAGATCAGGTTGTATGCGTGCTTGTCAATAAAAACAGGAACTGATGCTGTTTTATTACATTAAAGACACCTTCTGATATGTATTATTGTGGTCATTTGGACAGGAGCCTCTGTTTTCTAATATATTTCTAATATCTAGTTTTTGATACATATTTTCTGAGTAATTTTGCATTTATCTGATGTATCTATTCTGGATCTGCCTTATGGAATAGCCAGTTTTGCACTCATTGTCTCATGTAAACTTAATATTTAGGTTTAATCTTGTACGATAGAATCATATTTGCTCTTTTTCACAGCAGCCATTTTGACATGAAATAGTTGGGTAATCCATTTAGTGTAGCAGAGCTTTCGCACTGAGCCACAACAACAACAACAGCCTGACTCTGTTTGATCTGAATGGAGCAAAATCTGAATTAGTATCATTGGTAACACCTGCGACTAATTCATGTCAAAATGGCTGCTGTGAAGGTCTGTTGTACTGGAATTTAAAGGTACACCTGATGGCAATTAAGCACAGCGGAGTCTGATGGGGCAACGTGCCAAACGCAATCCTTTTTGTTTTGTTTTTAATGTAATAAAACTGCATAAAAATGGCCTTTTACTGTAATAAAGTATCTGCTGGTTGGACAAAAGCCCAGAGACGTTGTTGATGGATCACAGCACATTATAGTAAATAATTGCCCTCCAAAACATCAGCTGCGACACAAATAGACGCCGTTAATCCGCGAGTGATCCCTCGGCCTCAGAGTACATCCTGTACCCGCGGCGGCGTGCTTGAGGAAAACATCTTTTGTCAATGAAACGGGATTTGCGAAAGTGCCATCTGGACACGAGGACAGGAGCTCTGTCTCCTCCGAGCCAGCCAGCCACTCCGAGGTCAGGATCTGGGATCAGACTGACCTGAGGAAGGAGGGCAGAGAGCAGGGCAGGTTGAGGACTCCTGAACAGATTATTGACATGATAGACATGAGATTATAGACATTAGATCAAAGACTGCAATAAATTAGATTTCTCTCTCAGATAATATCACATTAAGTGGTCTGATCAACAACCACATCCAGTTTTGATTGAGTGAATTAAGAGGAAACTGAGCTCTCCACTCTGCAGCCAAACAGGAGGAAAAGTGTCGCCTAGAAAAAGTTGCTAAAAATATCCCACAGAGGAGCTGCAGGTTAAAATCTGGCCTTGGAAATAAAAGTCTGCATGTCGTTCATTATTGCTGACAAAGTATTAGACATATTTTCTCTTCTGTATACAAATGAAATGCCTGTTTACCTCATGTTTTATTTCATTGTTGGCTCTGTCTCTTTCTTTTATATGTGTTCTTTGCTTTTATTAATTCATTTTTTTACTGTTTTGTAAGATTGTATTGTTTTCTGCTGTAGCCCTAACCCTTAATTAATAATTCCTACATGTACACTGGTGTTAAATAAAATCACAATAAATCGTATCCCTGCTCCCTGTCGTGTGAATACTTTATTACACATTAATGTAATAAAAATGGAATATGAAGGTTATAATGTTGGATTTATTAAACTGATTTAGAGACAGTTAATTGGGATCATTTTGGATGCTTTTATTAACTTTTATTCAATACATAGTTATTATTATTATTATAGACTCTAAGGTTGTAGTGGATAAACTGGCATGTTATTATATAATAATTAATGGCTTTGGGTTATACAAGACAGCTAAATATTCCTTTTTTGTTTGTTGTATCTTGATATTAATAGAAATCTATGGATCAACATAACTGTAGTGTAGTTTATATACTACAGCATTTACAGTAATCCTCTTATAAATGTTAATACTACAGAAAGGAGACACCAGAACTATAAATCTAAAGGGGGTTTGTGTAAGTATGTGTAATATAATATGTACAATTAGATGTAAGAATTGTTTACTTTTCTGCCATAAATACATATATATGAATATTTTAAATTATTATAACCATAGGAATAGAGAATAGTAATATATTAACCTGTAGTTCATTTTATAACCTGCTTTTAATAACAGAAACCTCCATTTGTGACATCAAACACAAGCAGAGGCTGTTAGATGAGAGATTTCAGCACATGTCGTCGCCCTATATTGGTGCGCACCCCCGCCTGCGCGTCCACGCTCCCGGCGTGCAGATCCACGTGAGGGAGCGGTGGGGGGAGCCACGAGGATATCTTCAGGGGGGCTCGGCCGTCTCCCACCAATGAGGGCTCCACATATAGATACATATTTACACCGGGCTCCTAACTGGGAGGTCTGGGGGTCAATAAGGGGGCTGTGAAGGTTTTTATTGGCTGTGAAATGTTTAGTGGGGAGAGAAAACCAGATCTGTTAGCACTTTATCCAATCGCTCCTTAATAATAATAATAATAAATGCTGCTAAATTGCACAGTGCGTTGTATGATCTGTATACTACTACCGTTTAACTGGCCATTTTTGTTTTCATTTTGTCACAAGTTTAGTTAACAATCTGTTTTTATCGTTTTTAATACCTTAACTGCTTACCAGTGTAATGTGCTTGCATTTTGTTAGGCATTTAGTTAATGTCTGAATTTATTTCCCCAGATAGCTTCAAGATTTGTCTAAGATTTAGACCTCCTCCACCTTTGCTATTCGCACCACTGTGCACAGTATTGCTCCTCTGTAGTCAAACTAAATCTTCTTGAAGCTCGAATCCTTGAATCCTCTTGAAACGACTTACCATATCAGCTTTTTTATAGCTTCGTCTCCAGAAACAGCCAAAAGGCCCTTGAATTTATCCGGAATACAGTTTACGACCGACAACAACTTCCAACTTTTACCTCATATTTTCTCAAGAAGCGCACCCATCCCTCTGCGCTTTAGCGGAAACCCGTCTAGACACTGTGAATCCAAATTCAACGGCCTGCAACCTGAAAGTAAAACCCCCAAAACGCTCAACAATCCTTAAACGAAAATAAAAACCAACCAGCTCAGTTTTTGCTTTTTTGTTTTCATTTTTATTACTGACGGTGCAACTGTCTACGTGCAATTGGAACGTCAAATTTTTGGTGATGGGCTGAGAGAACACGTGCAGCAAAACCACTCCGACATTACTTCGGACTACGGCCAATAATTTTCCTTTCTTTTTTTTTTGTCGTTTTTTGTTTGTTTTGCTGAGTGGTCTCATTATTGTTTCAGGCGCTCCAAGTTGCCACTACGAGCCAACTCAAAACCACTTGGGCTGTACACCCACCAAAACCCAAAAGAAAAGAAGAAAAAAAAATAACCGGTTACACTCATCCGCCATTCCCATGTAAGAAAAAAAACAAACAACTTCACATCCCCAAAACCGCGTAAAAACAAGCTCCAGATAACTTGAGCGACCGTGAGCTTACAGCGACGCAGAGGAGAGTTCACCGTACCCTACGAACGCGCCGTGCGTGTCACGCGCGCAGGAGAGAACACGCATTTAGTGGGGGAGGTACATACATCCCTCTTCTGTTCCGACCCCTGAGTTAAGTGACATCACAAGGTAGTAAGCCCAACCTGGCAAAACCATAGATACTATATATACTAAGTAGTATAGCATAAGTACGTACCAAGTACTCTTTATATACTTTGTAACAGTATGTTACACATATCGAATAACACGACTAAGAAAAAGCTTTTATATACTGATGGCTATGGTTAGGAAAGCCAAGGCACTTGGCAAGATTTAAGTGAAAGTTATAAATTTACAAAAATCAGACTAAAACCAGAAACAGTCAGTCCACTATTATTCGCCTCTCCGTATTTATCTTTACAAATCACAGGAATTAATTAATAACAAGAGCAAAACAAAAACGACAATCTAACCCTCCCAAAAACAACCAACAAACGTTGATTCTGCCAATCAAATGTCAATGAATCATCCGCCAGAGGGGGAGGTGCTCAGGGCGGGGACGGCGACGCGAAGCCTCGAGAAAGAACACGCGGTTCTCAAACGTGAACAATGGAGAGAGCTTATATAATTTCATAATTCTTTATAACCCGCCCCTCAACCAGAATATCTTCCGTCTCAGATGCTGTGAGAGAAAAAAGTAGGCTGGACTCCCATTCCAGATGGCTGTGTGGACCTCCAGCCGTCCATTTCAGTATCGAACCGCTAAAAAAAACATAAACAGATGCAGAGTAAAAAAAAAAAAAAAAAAGGATTTAAGTGTACGCAACGGGACAATGCTGGGTTGAGTTGGGGGCGGGGCTAAGCGATGGCACCACTTTCACAGTCACGCACGCTGCGAGGATTCGCGGCACTGACACAAAGCGCGCTCTCGATTGTCGGCCGCGTTAAGCTCCTCCCTCGCCGAACAACGGCGCGGTTGCGAGGGTCGCTGGCGCTTCCTGTAGGCTGCTCTTCCCCCCAATCATATTCATCACCACGACGACGCATTGTCTGAAGCAGGTATAAAAGTCGGGAAAAACGGGAACACACACACTCCAACGTTTTCAGTTAAATTAAAAGGAACAAAAGAAAGTTTTTCGTCCTCCGGTTGGCTGAATGCGACTCCTCGGACGTGGATAGAGTCAGTTCACAGTATGGCCAAGACTCTTCCTCCTCCTCCTCCTCCTACCCCTCCCTCCTCCCTTATCCTAGTGGAGGGGTCTCCATGTGCAGCTTCTGTGTTTACGCAGACGTGCGGAGTCTGTGTGACGGGGACGATTGCGTGGTCCGCCGGGACCAGAGGCTGCCGGCCGGTCGGCGAGCCGCAGTCCTGGACCTGCGCCTGGAATCTGAGCCATCTGCTCGGGGCTGGCCAGGTTCTTGAGCAGGTTGTCTCCTGCTCCAGCTGAGTGTTGCGCTCGATCAAGCTCTTTGTATCTGCTCCTTCAGCACCTCCACCTCCTGCGGACGGCGTACATCAGGTGGCTCTTTCACCAGGTCCTGAGGGCGGAGGAAAGAGACGGTTAGAGGGACAGTTCATCCATTATTCACATCACAACATACACACATGCCATTTACTGCCAAATGCTTCTGTTAATTATCCAATATAATCACATCTATTATCAATATCAGTGATCGGGTGACTAACTTGCAACGTTCTGATAATACGTGTCTAAATATTCAAATTTACT